GTTTTAGGACAACAGTCGACAATTCCTCGATGCAGGCAAATGGAACGGAGATTATTCGAACGACACTAGAGATCGAAGATTTGTGGGCTTTACGTGGGTTACATTGCGACAAATTATTTGGAAGACCAATAAGATTAGCATATATATAGGATGCATTAAATCAACAGAGCACAAAATGTGAATTAAGAAAATTTTTAGACCTAAAGATTACATTTAGGCTGTAAAATATATTACTAGATAAGTGGGAACAATAAAGATAGTCTAAGAATGATTTTTTTAAATCTATTAACAAACTGAGTTACAAGGCTAGGCATAAATAGCTCAGGTCTAATAGAAGGTAGGTACACTGTTTTGGCTGCAGTCCGCTTGGACCTTATTTATATTCATAAACATATAAAAAGGGTGGCGAAGTCAAAGGCCTCGGCCCACCATAAATCAATTAACTGTATTGTGTTCGCATTTTTAAACCTTTCTATCCAGTTTTTGCAGAATGAGAGATATCCAACCTGACAGCTTTTATTCAGTCTAAATAAGTTATAAAAAATTGCTAGGTAATATGAGAATTAGTGTGCTCCCAACTATGAGTCATTTAAGAGAGAATGTGAAAAGCGTCAAAAATACTGACGAGACAAATACAAAGTTTAAGTAGGAAAATTGCTTACCGTCTTCAGAAAATATCAGATTTGACTTGTACGCAGGTTCAACTAGAGCCAATGGAAGAGGCGTAGCGTTAGGGGAGCCTGGCTTTTCTTGATTAAACTTCAAAGCATGCTCCGATGAAAGTGAAACTTCAATCAAACAATCAACTGTGTGGATGGATTCGGCATCATTGAAGATAATAGAACGACTGGGAATTGAACCAGGGTTCTGGTTCCGTCTAACATGCAGGATAATACCCCAGCCATAGTCGATTCCAGAGTGGGCAACCTTGATTAGGTTCAAGAAATGAAATTATCGTGTGAAACCATATAAATTAAAAGTAATTGTAAAGGCCTATTGGATTTGACAATGAGCACAAACAAAAGAAGAACAGGAATAACAATTTCCGTGAAGCTATAAGGATTTGAAATAAATTGGCTTAATATAGATTTATGATAAACAAGATAAATATGCGTAAGGAAACTTACGAAAACATCAATCATATAGAGTACCACAATAGATTGTTTTATAGCAAAAAATAGCTTGCCAAACGAGGCGTGTTTTAAGCATAAATGAAACCAAAAATAACATAACCAGTGAACGTAGATATAAAGACAAATATGGCGTGGCCTTCTCTTCAATCGCAGTCTCTCTTAACTTTATAGTATTGGTTCGACATCGCTTTCGCAGCTTAGCCGGAACATCTGAGGGTTTGCCTTCATTTGCCACGTTGGCACCTCTCACTGACGATGCCGTCGAAACGCTTGGGAATGTACCAAGTCAATGGTCCGACGCTGAAAATCACGAATATTATGGCATAGGACACAGGATTAGCTAAGTTACACAAGGTCACCTCGACGCTATGATCAGGCTGTAAAAACAGGATCGAACCAACGATTAATGAGGCCTGTAAACACGAATAGAAAACGGGTTTCGATTAAACTCCTGAGATAACGTATGAAAGTGCATGAAGAGATTTGTAGGTCGATCTTACCAGAAGAGGGAAGCTAAATTCCGTTGTACTGTGGCCGTTTTGCTTTTATACGACGTTCAGGTTGACGCAGTCCACGAGACCTAGAGCATAGTGGAAATTTGTTGGAAAGAAGATTGAATTTTGCTCTTCCAAATGAGATAAACCATTCTCTGGACATACTTGTTGAATTAATTAGCTTATATGATAGATTGCCCGAGGAGGTAAGGAATAAAATTGAACTGCAGGTGACCCCTCATTGTGACCATATAATTCCGCCAGGGTAAGCTTGTACTCTTAGTAGGGTTTCTAGTTATATGTGGTAACAATCTAATAGTTATGAAAGCCGATAAAGGTGGAGCAGTGGTAGTTATGGGTAGATAAAGTTATTTAGAAATGCTAGTTCATTTAACTAATTCTTACAAGTTTGTTAAATTAGTTGATCAGCAAATAAGTTCAGATGGGATAATAAGTTTTGATGTTGTGTCTATGTACACAAACATTCTTGTTAAAAGAGCTATTCAAGCTACGATACAAACTCTGGAGGAGCATCCAGAGATAGCACAAAGAAGGTCGAGTGTAGCGCCCGTAATTAGACTTCGTAACCTATCCATGGTTTAGGACCGGTATTGCTTATGTCAACATTCGCGCATACATACAAGCTCGAGCCATAATAGCAGAACTAGCATGAAGGATAATTAGCCAAACCATCATATATCTATCTACCTTTTTAATTTTCTTCTGCTAAATTGAGTCTATATAAGAGGTATGTTAGAGCCGGATAGTCTTTTTGCTTCTCGAAACTTTTACAAGAATAAGTTCTAGCTCTAATGATGTCCATCATATGATGGACGATAGCTCAGCCCGTTGTAACCCGAAACAGGGGAGGTCGCATGGACTGCGTCAACCTAACGTCATACAAAAGCCAAACGACTGCAGTACACCGTGACTTAGTCATCCTCTTCTGATGAGATTGACCTACGAGATTCTTCTTCATACTATTTCATACGAAATGAAAGTCCCCTAAGTAATGAGGCTTGGTCTTGGCAAGCGGACGACTAAACATGTAGAAATCATTAAAGCAAACTATGATCTCAGATATATGGGGATACAAGGGGAAAATGCTTGTTAAAAAGGCCATATAATCCGTTGGGCAACCCAAGATGAGTTAATATATTGTATAACACAAGAATCATTCAGTAGTCAGATTGGATTAGTATTTAATTAAATTCTTCAATAAGTTGCGATAATCGGATTAGGCGCACTACAAAGGGTACTGAAAAATATAATTAAAGAATTGGGATTGCGGAGATAGTCCATTACAATAATAGCTTAGCTTTCGTGTGGATTTCGAAATTGCCAAAATATTTAAAGGAAACTTACATGTACAATTCGACCTGGTTGAAGGAATGCAACAAGATATTTAGGTCTAGATAGTAATGACATCTTAGTTCGATTTAATTGTTTCTGCCCCCGAAGGAGATCCAAATAGGAAGATATATGAGATTCTTCGATATCAAGCGCAGGTAGAGAAGATTCATAATCAGCAAGATCATTCTCCAAGGTTATAACCTGTTTTTCCAAATGAGGTAGCCTAAGGCTGTTTTGAAATTGATAAAAGCTGCGTTCCAACATTGTCTCAGGATCAATATCGTCAACACGCAGAAGATTGAGAACCATAGTGTAGGTAAGATGAAAGGCAGAGTTTAAAGGGTCAGGCTGGCCAAGGAGAAGTTGTTTAGCCGCGTATGGAGAAAGCGTGTTATCGGCCATGATTATCACAGTACCAAGA